GTACACACTCACTGGGAGATTTGTTACTGGGCATTTTGTGGCACTCTGATGATTTGTGATGATGATTTCTCTTTGATACTTGTGTTTTTCTGATGACTTGGTTTATGAACAATATTTTGGGTAATTTTAAAAATAAAAATTTTGGTTTGAAATTTAAGGTGTTACATTAGAACTAATGGCTCCCCAGTTCTGAGAAATATATTCATAGAGTTGGTTTGTGGTTGTATTTTTGAGAGTTCTCGGTTGTGTGGTTCTCACTGGAAGTTGGGCCTTGCAGTTAGGGGGAGAAAGATAATCATTGCGATTGAGTATTTTCAAGTTATTGGTTTGTTTGTTGGCCGATGTGGATTTCTGAGTGGTCTCTCGAGTTTTCTTTATAATATGCCTTGATTTCGAAGTGGATAAAGGGAGTTTGTGAAATACGGTGACGTTATTCGTGTTCCACTACACCGGTTATTTAGCTCAGACTCGTGTTAGGAGTCGCCTTTGTTTTGACGTGGAGGGTTCATCAGCAGTGAATAGTCAGAGGTTCTATTTTCTAGTAGTATCAGCAAGATAATTCGGGTCGGAAGGGTTCCGTATGGTTCGGGTTGCGGAGTGAAGTCATATTGACAGTGTTCCGAGATGCTTTTTCCTGCTTGGGAGTCAGACAAGGTATTGGATTTCTGAATATCAGGCAGCGTAGTGATGGTTTTTCTTCATTGGTTAAAGTTAGTGGATCAAGGATTCATTATCCAGAGTTGTTTGCAGCAGCGGACTTCGAGGACGAAATCTGATTCAAATGAGGGAAAATTGTAACATCCAGATTCTTGGAGGTATTTAGTTTTAATGTATTTTTAATTTTGCGAGTGACCACGTCGTTGTGAAGGCATCCCATGAGGTGGCGATGATGGAAGTTTTGCGGATCATTTAATTACCCCCACGTCGCGACATCTATTAGCTACGACGTGGCGACCGTCTATCGTGAAAACCCTAATTTTTCGGGTATTTAAAGGAAAGTGGGGAGGCTAAGGTTGCCCATCTTCAGCCTCCATCACTCTAAAGCGCCATAAACCCTAACCCTAGCCTCTATTACAATTATGAACTCATTCTTGGTGCTTTTGGTGATATCTAAAGAAGAAGGAAGCCCTTGGTGTGATAGTTTACTTAGCAAGCATCATCTGCTTCAGCTGGCACATCTCTTGGACCTTGGTGAGTGTCAAAGTTCCAACCTTTTCCTTTCTAAGTTGTTAGATCTCTTGATTTTGTCCCTTTTCGTCACGTCTTGATGGATTTGAGTGGTGAGATCTCATAAAGTTGGCAACTTTATGAATCTCCAGGTCACTTAGAGTATTTGGTGCCTTGGATCTGAGTTATAAGTGAGCTTTGGTGTTATGCATAGAATCTTGGTCATAAACCCTTAGTTTTGACCTAATAAGAGTTCAAGACATAAATGTATGAAAAGCATGGATTTTTATGATAGTTTTGGTACTAGAAACCCTTTTGGAAACGTGGGTCATGCGATTTTCAAGATTAAGTACTTAATGATTAAGCCATGATGTGTTTTCACCCCCCCCCCTTTTGGACCTAGGGTGATATCTTTACCACTTGGAAGGTCTTAAGGGATAAAGTTGGAAACTTTATCCATTTAGACAATGGATTGGATCAGATATGAGCTTTGGAGCTCTTAGAATCAAAGAAAACGGCTTAACCAGTTAAGTTGTTTGGACCCAGTGCCTACGGCGTAGCCTCAGGTTTCAACGACGTGGCGACTGGGCTAGGGCCCGTCTGCTTTGCTGATTTGTGGCCAAGACGTGGCGACCGACTGCAGTTGACTTTGACGTTGACCGTTGACTTTGACCAAGTTTGACGTTAGGTCATTTTTGGTATTTTAAGTAATAGTTTGAAGCTTGAGTCCTTGTTAAATGTATAGGTGATCAGTAGAGGCAGTATTCAGAGCAGTGATTCGTTCAACTATCTTTTCAGACTGTGAGGTGAGTTTTCCTCACTATACTTGTGGGTCAAAGGCACCAATGCCGACCCACTAAGTTATGTATCCTGGAATATATAATGTTGTTATGTTATAGTAATCTGTTAGATCTGCATGATTATTTGGTTGTTGGTTATATGTTTATCTATTGCATATGTCGACATAATGTGGTAGGGTTGAGGCACAATTGCTCTGTGTGGAAGCCAACAAACTCGGGAGCAAGCCACACATAAGTTGTAGGCCAGAAAGGCAAGCCAAACTTATGTTGTGGGCTCTGGAGCAATCCAAACATGAGTTGTGGGCCAGAAAGGGAAAGTCAGACTCATGTTGTGGGCTCAGGGGTAATCCAGTACGACGAGTGTGGACCTAATATGCATGTTGTTATATGTTGTATGGTGGTATTTTGGGGGATCTCACTAAGCTTTGGTTTACAGTTTATGTGTCATGTTTTAGGTACTACTGATGATCGGGGGAAAGCAAAGGTTTGATCGTACATATCCTTTAGTGATATGTTTTGGAAAATTTTATGATACACTGATTTTGGGATATTTATATTTGATACTTGGTTTCTTATGACTTGGGTTTTAATGGAAACAATGATTTTACTTTAAATTGAAAATGAAAATTTTTACTATGATTTTTGGGTCGTTACAGTAAGTCAATTCATAAAACATTTGAGTAATGGAAGACAACTCAAACACATAAGCTGATTGCCTAAAACTCAATATCAACATAGTTTTTTCATTAAAGTCTTTCACTAATCATAGAAAGAAAATGGAACCCCCAAATTTCATCAGATTTGTTTCATGTTTGAGGGGATTATGAAAATAGTTTGGGTTTGTGAAGTATTTACTTCAGATTTGAATCTATATTTGGAACAAAATTTGAATAAGAAAGAGAATATACGAAGAAGAAAGCTAATCTAGGCTTAGGAACATTAAAAAGATGGACTTGAATCCCAATTTCTCCAGTCTTGCGTTCTTGAAAACGTTTGCATGTTCTTATAACTGAAACCATTCCTCGCCACTCTCACCACCATGAGACGTTGATGTTGCATCTGAAAATCCCTAATCGGAACTTCATATTAATCAGAAGTTACAAAGAAACTGAAGAAAGACAAGAAAATAATAATAATAATAATAAATTAAAACATGAGCCCAACAAACAACAACCAAAACCATGAAACCGTCATCAAATTTCTTGAATAGAAATTCTAAATAGAAGCTACAAACCATGGATACCTGAATCGATTAACTTTTGTCTGTGAACTCCATCCATCGACACCGAATCACAACAAATATCGAGCAAAACTATCAAATGTTCGTCGCATTGGTCGGTTACGTCCATACCTGAATCGATTAACCCTAAAAGTGAAATCAACAAACGACAAGTGGAGGTCACACGATTGGAATTTCAGATATATTTCATAGACAATCGACATCTGAACATAATTAATCATTGAAGTTGGAATACGAACCTGAAACAGAAACGAACGACGAATGTGGAAGCGGAATATATTCCCTTTATTTCAAATGTGTAAAAGCAACATAAAAGAATTGAAGGCAGATGTCGGTGGGTGGACATAAGAGGAGGACGGCCACTCCAAATCCAAGCAGCTGGAGGCGAAAGGGCATATGCCGATTAGAAGATAGAAGCGGTGGAGGGAGCAAAATCGTTGAACCCTCAATGAAAAGCAGGAATCCCCAAAAGTGGAACTCCAAATAATAACGTAATAGATGCACAAGACGATTCAATTGGTAGATGATGGCGGAAACGAATCTGAGAGAGAAGAATCGTATGCAGAGGGAATTAGGTAGAGTTTGAATCGTCGATCGGAGATGAGTTTAGAGGGGGTTTTTTTTTTGTAGCGGTGGTTCTCTTGAAGAACGCCACAGAACTAGAGTCAAGTAATTTGGTGCAGAGGTGGTGAAGCAGGCGGAAGAAACGTCGTTTTTATCACTACAAAGTCATCGGCTCCAAACTACCTGGTATTGAAGCTGACTCAATAGCGGCCACTGTGCATAAGCATGTTGGAAATTTATTGTATATATAATATATTATAAATGATAAATGAGATATACATGGAAAAGAATATACAAATATAAACTGAATAAATACAACTATATGAAAAATCTAACAAATACTTTTTCCATAAAAAACATAAACATGACAAGTTATATTTACATGTATTTCGTAAGAAACCTCATGCACATGCATAACATATAAACCCAAAATGGAAATATCTCAATTTTATGAATTTTGTTAATAGATAACATTATTCACCATGTGCATCTTTATTTACTCTCATATCAACCATATTACCATAATCACATCCTTATTTAAGAAACCTCATGCACATGTATAAACATATAAACCCAAAATGGAAATATCTCAATTTTATGAATTTTGTTAATAGAAGAACATTATTCACCATGTCCATCTTTATTTACTCCCATATCAACCATGTTACCATAATCACATCCTTATTTTTTCTCAATGACCCAAACATAATGATATTAAATAAAATTAATAAATATAATATACCATATCTATGGTAGTCAACAAAATTATTATCCTTTCTCTAGGTACAAATTATACTATTTGCATGTATACTTACTTGTACCTATTCCACTCATAAAGAATATGGTAAATTCTGAACGTGAAACAAAGACCTCCTTCATGAAATAAAACCTTATCTTATTTACTTTTCTATTGGCTTAAAAGCTAAACTTTTAATCATATTTTAATTAATAATTACTTTGTACTTGTGATACCCTGAGAAGCCCAAAAATACAACCAATAAGAAAACGTAGGCGGTTAGAGAGTGGAATAGGAGTCAGTGATTTCTAGTGGGTTCCTGCCAAGACGTTTTCTTCATTTTTATATACAAAACAAAAAAATACTTAAATTCAAAAACATTTCTTTATTAATTTCTACTTTGTCTTCAAACCCCACAATTTTTTTTATATTTTCTTGGAAGTATTTTATTCATTTATCGTTTGTCTTCAAACCCCACAAAGAGAAGAAGAAAGGGGATATGTTGCAAGGACAAGATTTGTGTACTAGCCTATATGAGCTTCAATATCTGTTGATAAATTAATTTATCAAAGGAAAGGAAACCCTAGCGAACAATCAAACCAGGTTTCTTCATAAAGAAGGTGAAAGAAAGAAGATTAAGACCCCATGAAAGATGAGATCAAAAGTTGAAATGCCAAAAGAGAGACAGAAAGTATAGAGATTAGAGAGAGAGAAAGAGACATATTTGAGAAAAAGACTCGTCCTTTCTTTAGTGGCTATTCAGATGTTACCTTGATATGATAGCTTTGATCTTCTTCTCCTTCTTCAACAAAAAACTCAAAACAGTGAGTCTTTTTGTAATTTTTCTTAAACCCTTTTGAGAGTTTGTGAATTATTTATGTATTTTTAATATGGGTTTTTGTTTATTTAACAGATTTTATAAATCTTGAATCAAAAATGGCGTGAACGAAAGCTTTGCATGGCGAGTCACCGAGTTGGAGAGACTGGTTTGTCAGACTCAGGACCTTCACACCATCACCATCACCACCAACACCTGCCATACTCTGTTTTTCCTGCCTTTAATCCTCCTAACACATCCTTCATGTACAAATTTCATAATCTTTTTTTTTTTTTTTTTTTTTTTTTTTTACAATTTATCCAAAAATTTCGATCTTTTGGACGTTTTTCGACATGGGTTTCATGAAAGATTTAATCTTTTTTCTTTACATGACGTTACCCTCTGTTTTCTTGACATTTTTTTTAATTTCTTCATTCAGTAATCAAGAAGGGTCATCGTTTGATTTTGGAGAGCTAGAAGAAGCTATTGTGCTTCAAGGTTACAACAAGATCCATGGTGATGAAACCAAATTACGTATGGTTTTAATTTTGAATTCTTTCTTTCTTCATCTTCTCTTTTCTGACGTTTGCTAAAAGCATAACAAACTACACCCTCAAGAACACACACATAGTACGTAGTATGTGAGTGAGAAAAAAGGGTTTGAAAGTGTCAAAAGAAAAGGATTAGGTATCCCTTTTCTACCCACTTCAAGCTTCTTGAATGTGTGATTTTGTTTTGTGTTTTTGTTTTGTTTTAAAGTTCTTGAAGGCGATTGATTCTAAAAGATTTTTTATTTTAATTGTGTGATTTTGTTGCAGCTTTATACACAACAGTACCAAGGCCAGCAGCTACTCTGGACATGTTCCCTTCTTGGCCTATGAGAGTTCATCAAACCCCAAGAGTAGTTCTTTTTTGCCTTAATAACTTATCTTTGACCATTTCTTTATGCCATTTTATTTCATTCTCTTAACTACTAAAAAACAATTTTCAACTTCATTACCTCTCAACAAGTCATCCCTTTTTTGTACCCAATCAATCAATTTCATTTTCTTGTCCAAAATTGAATCTTTTAAGTCATTTTTGTGATAAAAAACGTGTTTCTAGGTTAACCAAGATGTTTTTGTTAGTTTATTTTGTCAAAAATTGAATCTTTGTGACATTATTAGCTATTTTTTCATAGTTTCTCACATACCCATCTTCCAAAGCTTAAATTTGTTTAGCTTTATTTTGTGATTAAAGACATCTTTACGCAAATTCAAGATGAATTTTTATGCTTATTTATTCCAAACTCGAATTTTTAAGACACTTTATGTTTTTAACTTTCATATTTTCTCACATACCCACGTTTCAAAGATTGTATTTTTAACCTTATTTTGTGATTAAATACATCTTTAAACACATTCACGATGCTTTTTAAGCTTATATAGTCCAAAATCAAATATTTAAGACATTTTTAGCTTTCTTTCATAGTTTCTCCCATACCCATTTTTCAAAGATTACATTTTGAATCTACTTATGTGATAAAATGCATCTTTAAACACATTCAAGGAAAATTTTCCATCTTATTTTGTCAAAAACTAAAATCTTGAACACATTTTTAGCCGTTTCATCACAGTTCTCACATACCCATTTCTCAAAGATCAAAATTCTAACCCTATTTTGTGACTAAAAACATCGTTAAGCAAAATTCACAATGAATTCCAAATACCCACAAAGTAATTTTCTTAACTTTTTCCGTTTTTGGGTTTCGAAAAACAGGGGAGTAATTCAAGTACAGATTCAGGGTCAGCAGTAAATGTTGCAATTGCTAGTAAACCAGAGTCTCATTCGCATTTAGAACCAGAATCACCAATCAGCAGTAACAGTAAAAAAGCATCTTCAAATCCACAACAAGATCAACATCATCATCAACAACAAGCTATTTTTCGTCAACAATTGCAAAATCTGCAAATTCCAACACAAAATCTTGAAATGGAAAGTGAAGGTGGTAGTCCTGTTACTACAGGAGGATCATCACATTCTCAACAAACTCCAAAACCCTTCTCAGAAAAGGTTCGTTTTTTTTTTCCCCTTCTTTTTGTCTTTATATCGATAGATAATTTTTTTTTCGATATACCCATTTTATTAGGAGCAATATGTTAATCTTTAAATCGGGTAAATGTTACGTATTCCCTATTTTAGGCCCTCTCAATATGGCGTCGTTTAATGAATTTGACATTAAAACTTACCAAACATTATAAATGAAGTTGGAAATGAATGTCAATGTAGTCAAATATCCCAACAAACTAATAAAAAGATCAAGAAGAAGTCATTGTTTTTCAGATATGGTTCCCTGACATGTGTAAGAGTGTGTGATAGAGAGAGAAAAGATAAAATATTTCGTGTAATTTTCGTTTTCATTTTTATCTTTAAAATTGTGATTTTTAATTTACATTTTATTAATTAATAATCGTACTCACTACTCCCAAAAACTGTGGTTTATACATTTACATTGTTTTCTTTTTATGGTAATGATTACTCAAATCCCCATAACTTCAGTTTAACTATTTACCTTTCTTGGAGCTCTAATCTTTTATTAAAATGAATCATTTTTATCATATACCCACATTGAAATAGCAAAAAATTTAAAATAATCACAAAGATTGTAGTAAAAAAGTACAAAAAAAACCACCTAACCCCTTCTAGAAAATGTGGTAATTTTCCTCTTCCACTAAAAAATAAAAATATAAAAAAAGGAGTAATTTTTACTCTGTTCTTGATTTTGATGCAGAAAAAGGGAATTGGTTCGACATCAGAGAGAACACTGGATTCGAAGGTTCTTGTAGTTGTATAAATACACACATATATAATTATAAAAGTATCAAATATCGCGAAAGATATACGATTTTAGACAAATTATAGATGTATAAGAACCCAAAATTAAAAGCATCGTTCTTGATATTTCTTTTCCAATGTTATCTTGAAATTGTCGAATTTAGTGTTTTCATTGAATTTGTTTACAGACATTGAGACGCTTAGCTCAAAACAGAGAAGCAGCAAGAAAAAGCAGACTAAGAAAAAAGGTTTCTTGATTCATCAAACTATCATCACTTTCCCTCATTTTCATAAAAATCATGGGTTCAAATCCCAATTTCACAATCATAATCATCGTTTCAAATCCCAATTTCACAATCATAATCATCGCTTCGAGTCCCAATTTTTCACCATTCACTTTATGCAGGCATACGTTCAACAGCTAGAAACAAGCAGAATACGACTAACTCAACTCGAACAAGATCTTCAACGTGCTCGATCGCAGGTTTTTCTCGATTAATTTTTCAATTCTAAAAGTGGGTCGATCTTTTCTTTAATTATTACGTTGTTTTATTGACGAAATCGATTGTACTATTAGGGTTTGTTCGTGGGTGGTGGAGGCGCCGGAGGGAACCTTAGCTCCGGTGAGTCTTTAAATAACCAAAAATTAAGAAAATATTAATCGGTATTGACATTAGGATATGATCCTATGTGTGCAGGTGCAGCAATGTTTGATATGGAATACACGAGATGGCTTGATGAAGATCAAAGACACATGGCTGAATTACGAAAAGGGTTGCACTCACATTTATCAGATGGTGATCTTAGGGTTGTAGTTGATAGCTTTGTTGCACATTATGATGAGATTTTCCGGTTGAAAAGTGTGGCGGCTAAATCCGATGTGTTCCACTTGATTAATGGCATGTGGACTACCCCGGCGGAACGATGCTTCCTTTGGATGGGCGGTTTTCGTCCTTCTGAACTTATCAAGGTAACCTACTGTTATTCTGTCAGATGACATTGCGTCTAGCTGATATGAGATATTAAGACACGTGTCATATGAGACAATTAACGCATCTGTTAAACCCTAATCGTGTCTAGCTAATATAAGACACTAACACATGTTTATTGATACGAGTATATGACACATGTTAAAAAGTTGACTCTTATACAATGTTAGTTAGATATATGGACCTATAAATAAATTTCATTAATGATAGAAGGTGGACTCTAACATATAAAGAGACAGTAATATTGTGCCTAGTGTGACGCTAACAATCTAAAATATCTTATTTTCAAGATTTTGTATGTTTATTTACATTATTTTGATTTTATTTGCTAGATGTTAGCAATTCAATTGGATCCGCTCACGGAGCAGCAAGTTGTGGGGATTTATAGCCTACAACAATCCTCACAACAAGCAGAAGAAGCCTTAACACAAGGCTTAGATCAGCTACATCAGTCGCTAATCGACACTATTGCTAGTGGGTCTATAAATGATGGGGTCCACCATATGGCGGTTGCATTGGGAAAACTTACTAATCTTGAAGGCTTTGTTCGTCAGGTAAACCAAAAATAAATATTATTAATTTTTACATGAAAATATGTTACTTATATAACTATTTTTAATCAAATATATACATTTGACATTTTCTTAAAAAAATTGTCAAGACCTAGAAATGTTACTATCAATAGATTTTGAATTATTGGTATAGTTGACATTATAAATGTCAATGCTCTAGTTCTTATTATTATTTTTTTCTTTAATTGTAATGATTAACATTTGACAAACTTATCAAAATGTAGGCCGATAATTTAAGACAACAAACTCTTCATCAATTGCATCGAATACTGACTGTTCGACAAGCAGCAAAATGTTTCTTAGTGATTAGCGAGTATTATGCACGACTACGAGCCTTGAGTTCCCTTTGGGCATCTCGGCCACGAGAGTAAGATCTTGAAAAGAAATTTTCTTTTCCTATTAAATTTAAAGTATAATAATTAATAGTGAATAAAATTTTGAATAAATTGTTTTTGTAGGGCATTGATGAGCGATGAGAACTCTTGCCAAACGACGACGGATTTGCAAATGGTGCAATCTTCACAGATTCATTTTTCAAACTATGGATGAAGATATGAAGTTGGTGAAGTGTTGATGTCTCATGGCGGCCGTGGCTTTTGTTTGTTTAAGTACTTGATTTAGAAGGATATCATTAAATAGTCTATTGAGTTTTTATTTTATTTTAATTTAGTTTATTATCCTTTTTTTTTTAATTTAGAAATTAAATATTGAAATATTTATGATTATGTTATGTTGTAAATGAAAATCGTCTCACCGAGTTATCTTTTTTGGTTGTTTGAAAAACGAGGGTTTACATACTTAGAACGAGGACGAAGATTCTCTTTTTCAAAGTTTGCCAAAATGCTAGAAATTATAGAATTAACCACAAATAATCAAAATAAAGTGTGTTGATGCATTATGTATTACAATTAAGATAAAATAAATAGAAACCATTTTTTGTAAAGTAAATAGAAACTATTTTTTTTGTAAAGGAAAATAAAATTTTATCCTGCTTTTTTCTCCTATTCTGTCACTGTTACTCTATCTGTTTAACGATTACTTCTCTTTCCTCATTTAATTCTTTGATTTTGATATTTATCATGATCTAGTAAGTCTCAGGATGAATAGAAATATTTAATATGAGGATATTGAACCTTTTTTTGTAGAAAAAAATGGTAAATATGAAATTGAACCCAAAATAATAGATTTTGTGCAAAACGTTTGTGCGTCATTTAGACCCCACTTTGCTGTTTGTAGCATCAACACGTAATCGAAAGTTTAGGTTCATTAGCAAAATAACAACCGAATCCACAAATATTTTTCAAAATAAAGAACAAAAACTAAGAACTCTTATTAAATCAAGCTTTTATAGATCAAAATAACAAAACCCTCACAATGTGATACACTCAAGCTATCTAAGAATGTATGTGATCTTGAAGAACGATGTATAAAGGTGATACTCATATTTTCACACTAAGGCAAACAAAATAAACTATCTCTCAATATTCAGGATTGTACTTAAAAAATGTCATTGAATGATATCTACACTCATTTATTTACATGGGAGAGTTTATGTATGTCCAATGTGGATCACATGAATCATCTAATTTTATAAATTATATACCAAAAAATTTAGGACATACCTATAAATTTATGTTGTCTTTTTCATACTTGCACACCATGAAGCTTGTTAACTTGAGGACGGATTGAGACTGACTTACTACAATTTTAAGTTGGTTTTAATAAAATAAAAAGTTAAGCAAGGACGAGTTTGGACTCCATCCTCGCAGAATCAGTTTTTATATATGTTGAACCGTTATTTTTTTGGTTGAATTGGCTTGGTTAAACTCGGTCTTCTCACTAACCTGATTGAACCTGGTTAGGGGACACACGGTTTTCTATTATGGAGTTTATTTATATCTCTGATAATTGCATCCAACTCCATGCAACTGCTTTCTATTCGGTACATATTTTTTTTATCAACTTTAGTCCTTAATATTCCAGCAGTTTAACACATTGCACCAATACAAACATGAAGTTAAAAAAAATTAAGCTACAAATACATTTAACATATTAGTTTATTCTAGTTTTAGTTAAAATACACATAAAATTTATTGACTTTTCAACAACCTAAACTAAAAAACATTTGTACAAAATGACTTAGTAAATACAGTAGCCAAATGGATATCAATCACACTCTTATTTGTCCTTTCACATAGAAGATAATTATAAAAAATAAGAATATCGACAAATATGTTATCATAAAAGACACTAACATGCAAATCAATTTTAAGTTTAAAGCAGACATAACTTTAAAATCCAAACCTCTTTGGACTTCACATGTAACAATGGACAATGCCAAGTATTCTACCTCAATAGATTGCCCATACATGATAGACTATTTTTTTTTTACTTTGCTAGGACAACAAGAAGTACCTAATTAAAAATAAACAAAAACCAATAATTGACCTTTTAGAGCTACTACATGTCTCTTAATATGCATTTACTATACAAAATGTAACAGAGAACTACCTTTCAAAATTAGAACACCTTAACGAGAAGATAGAGTTTCATATACCCTAAAACTCTTATAGCAAGTTTAAGGTGTGATATCCTTGGTGAGTCCATAAATTGACATATTGTTTGGACAACAAACTAGATTTTAAGTATCATGTTTGTCAAATAGATCAATGTTCCAACCAACTTTTGGAATCCATTAATATTGATGAGAAAATCATCATTACATTTCCTTCGCTACTAACCATCACATCAAGGTCTAAATGAGTGACAATAGGTTTGGAGACCAATAACCCACATTTATGAAAAGTTCAGGGGGTTACTTCCTGTGTGAAAAACAAATACCATTAAGAGACTCAATAATTTTTTTTATGTAGAAAAATCCTATTATTTTGGAAAAACTTATAATATAGTCCTAAAAGATTTTTTTTTCAACAGAAATATCTCGATTATTTAATATTTTGCTCAAATTAAAGAAAAAAACATTTTTTATATTTTAACAGGAAATAACAGATTATGTGATTTTTTCCAAAATAATATAACTTTTCTGTTAAAAAAAACTTTTAGGACTTTATTAAAAATTCCCAAAATAATGAGACTTTTCCGCATAAAACCCATAATTTCAATATTGAGAAAGAATTTTAAATACCCAAATCTTTATTTAAAAAAAATTATAACTTTTTTATAGCTTCAATCTATTTTTCATAACTACCTATTAAAACTATATCATTTATAAAAACTAGAAAAATAGTTAAAACATCATCTTTTTGGATGGTATATAAGAATCTAGCTTTGAAAGAACCCAAATTTCACTACATACGAAGTAAGCTTCTCATTCCACTTCCTATGAGTTTTTAAGCCCTACTTAATCAAAATTACAAACTCTTTTGTCATCTTAAGAAAAAATAACCTTGGGGAAGAGTCACTTAAACCTCTTCTTCAAGGGTTCTATATAAGGAAGAATTGGTCACATCAAATAGCCATACATACAATACACCTCACAATGATAAGCTTTGCAACATGTTAAAATGTCTCATCAAAATCAATATCATTCTTTTGATTATATCCTTTTGCAACTAAGCATGGAACCTCTCTATTTCACCATTAGATCTATACTTATTAGAATCCAATTTCATTTATATTTAAGCCTCAATTTTCATATACATTGTCAGGATGCAATTAATTTGATCAATAATTTCATTGAAATCTTAGGTTCTATACATTTATTTATTGCAATACAATAACCAGGGTCGGTCCAAAGATATAGTGGACCCACGACGAAAAGAAAAAATGGGCCCCTAAAGTCGAAAATAGACAAACCGTTATAAAATTCACTATGAATATTAAAAAGCAAAAATATGGCCACAATATTACAAAAATTTAAAGTAAAATATTTTTCGTAGCATTTTTAGATAAGTTGATTTTTTTTTCTCTCTCTATATATACAATATATTCTAGGAATTTTGGGCCCCTTAGAGACATGGGCCTTGGGCGACCGCCCGGATTGCCCACCGTCTAGGCCGGGCCTAACAATAACTAGTGTAAAAACGAATAGAAACCAAATATTTCCAACATCAACGATTCTTATATCAATTTAGGACAAAAAATAAAAAGGTTTTCATATACTTACAAAATGAAACCTCACTACAAAATACGTACACTACTTTCAGAACAATACACTCAACCGAATCTATATCTATATTGAATGATAAACTGGAACAACATACACAAATCTAGAAACCCTAGATAGATTATCGTAAGAAACCTTAATACAAATATTAAAGAGAGTATTGAGAGTGTGAAGCAATGAGAGAATGAGAGAATGAATTATTTGCAAGCCAACTCTACCACATAAATATCCCGGGTAAACGGGTTGAAAGATTTGTGCACAAACCCGACAAACTAAGCAAATAGTGAGCCGCAACCCACAAGTATGAAGAAGATACACAAAATACCCATGTAAACAATAACCCTTGACAAACATGTTTAAAACTATACAAAAACAACCCTCAAAGTTAAGTTTGAAATAATAAACACTTTAATTCTTTCAACACCCCCACTCAAACTAAACATTTTTAACAAAAAAAACTTGTAACGCCCTTAGATCCGAACTAGTCATTATAGAGACAATAAGTGTTGAAAATGACTTTTTGGTAGAAAATTATTTAGAATGAATAATCATAATAAAAAGTTGTAGTGTATGTTACAAGGATTCCGTACATATAAAGAACGCTGAAATCCGAGTTATAACGAAAAAGTTATGGTCTGTCGAAGTTTTACAGCAAAACCGGCACGGCACCGGGAGACGTAAATAGTGAATTTACGATAGATGAGTTTTTAGCCTTAGTAATCTAAACAAAAGTTGTAGTATATGTTAAACCGAGAACATACAAAAAAAAGACCGCCCAAATCTGACTTCGTATGACGAAGTTATGAATTTTCTAAGATTTGGCATAGCAGTGCACGGCCCGAAACTCGAATTTTAGTTTGAGCGGTTTTGGCCTACGCGACCTAAATGAGAGTTGAAGATCTCTTTAGTAGGAACTCAACGATAAAAAGACAGACGAAAACGGAGTCCGTATGTAGAAGTTATGAATTTTACGCGGACATTTAACAATCTAATCTCCTCCTACTGTTAAATTTAAGAATGGTCGAGAATTAGCAGACGGAGTCTAAATGAAAGTTGTAGATTATGATCCCACCTACGTGTGGCTATAAAGAAAGTTGAAAATGGAGCTCGTATGCGAGAGTTATGATTTTTCTAAGTCTGGCGGGTGTTGTGCGAGTTTGGGTGACGTGGCGCGATCACAGGTGTTGCTTTCTCCCCAAGAAAAGCCATCAGATGATGACACATGGCACTGACTCGGTGAGTCAGTGACCCAACTCGGCGAGTCCAGCTGCCTGGCAGCCTATAAATAGAGGTGTCGGGTTCCCTCATTCTTCACACCATTCCAACCTCTTCTCTCTCTCTCTCTCTCTCTCTCTAAACTCTCTCTCTAGCCCCCAAACCCCCCCCCCCCCCCTAAGACTAGGTAAACCCCTAGCACCCGAAGGAAGCCCCAAGGCTCCCGAAGCCCCGAGAAAAAGAGTCTTTCGGCTCTGAAACGCTGCTCCAGCGAAGCCCGGTTTTGCGAAAAACCTGA